TTTCTGTGTTTCAGAAAACTACAGAAGTGCATCTCAGTATTTAGTTTGAATTTGATCTTCCATAAATACAGAAGTGAATTTCCGTATTATGTCTGCATTGTTTGATTTTGATGTCTTTCATTTGAGTTTGATTTTTTCTGCTTTGTCTGGTTTCTTACAGATTAAATGACCCACAACCGAGAACGATTGAGACACGATAGAGTGTTCCAACATGTATATGTTTGCAGGAAGAGAGCCCGACCCTCGTGACCACCAGTTGGTTCCAGTTCATTTGATGTGAATGCGTAAACTTCTGGAGTTCTGGTGTCTTCGACTTTATCGTCCCGGAGGCAAGTGTCACCTATTGCTGTTCCAAAAGCCTTTCTTGTGGAATTTGAAGGAGATCCATATGACACTTCATTACCGCCTCTGTATGCAAACTATGCTGCTAGGCACATGTAAGACGTAGAGGTAAAAACTTATCTATATTTTTTCTTTGAAACACGTGTGCTATAATATTTGAACTTTCTCATGATGATGTTTTTTTTTGCAGTACCATGATGCTTTAAAATGCATCAACCGTGATAGGAAGATTGTAAGGATGTAGTTGCATGAGGAGCAGTGGTTTCGTGATGCCATACAACTATCATTAACCATGGTATGTTGTCAACTTTCATTGAGAGGTGACACTCATAGACGCCATCTTTTCATTTTCCGCATAGCGAGATGTCCATCGCACTAAAGGATGTGTCATCCCTGCTACATCTCTCGATCAGAGAAAGATTATTAGATCACTTTAGAATGATCAGACCTGAAGCACTGAAGATGATGTTGACCTATTTGAGAGCTGACATAGAAGTAGGGGTGGCAAAACAGAATTGGTCCATTCGACATTGCCTATTTTGCCCGTACTTTTTAGCAAGGGAGATTAAGATTTTAGACTTCCACCCTCAAATATGTCTGTAACACCCTTCTAACCCCACATATATTTCTTAAATATCTTACGAAATAATTCAAATATTTCCACCACACAAAGATGTCACATCGTCATAATAAAATATTATAAATGCAATCTTACTCCGTAACACGGATTACAACAACGATAATAACAACTTCTTATATTATACACCATTAGAGTGTTTCATGAGACATCAAGATATATTTTAAAAGCAAGCAGCAAAATCATCATCAATCATATTTCATCAAATCAATCATGCAACAAAATCCTACATCTACTTTAACCCCTATCGACCATAATAAATCCGATTACATCCCTTATCTCGAATTCTTAGCGATTGATCATTTTCTTTGTGTTCTACATAATCCTCTTCTTGGTTCTCTGTAAGCCCTAGTCTCTCTTCGCGTTTTCCCTAATTCCACGTTCGTACAAAATCATCTCAATTCCTCTAATCTCTCTTTTTACCCCTTGGACCATTTCTATGTTATTCCCCTTATACTCTCACTTATCATCACAAATTATCACTGTTCCCTTATTCTTCCTTTTCACCTTAATATATTATTTAATAATATAAATCTAAATAACATAAGCTAAATTATTTAAATTCAAATAATTTTAATTAACAATGTTTTAGGTTAAAAAGATGTAATGCCCACAAGCTCGCCTTGTCTCGCCCTCATTTTTTTGCGGAACATACCAATGTTTTAGACTCGTGTCCTACACAATGCCGGCCTCGTTTTTTGCACACTTTTGCTAGACGAATCTAAACGGAATGGACATGCCCATATACAACCCCTACCCAGAGGATGCCCTAAAAGATCTGGAAGACATTAGAGGGTGTCATGCTACTGTTACTGTAATATTTTCATACCAGTTGTGCTATATATTTGCACCTTTAGTGTTACTATACCATTTTCATAACACTTTTGCTACGCCATTACTAATATTTTATATGTACTATTTTCAGGCATGAATTCTCTAACACTTTTCATTCATCTCCAACTGATCATTTCTTGATGACTACTCTGAGGATCAGCCACGTGCTTTCACATTCGTCGCGTTTAGAGAGAATTACGCGACCAAGTCTTTCAAAGTGTTTTTTTTACCGCAGTGCAGCAAATGATACTCTACATACTATACGACAATCATCGTCAAATGTGTCATTTAGATGACATAATCTTCTATTCTAGATGGTTGACTTGTGTGTCATGTCTGATGTATCCATATCTTCCTTAGCGGAACATGTGTCAATTTTAATTTATGCAAGGTATTCCAAGAGACCCTTTAGTGTCTTCTTCTCCCATTATGATCCGGATATAAGTTGATGTGATGTATAATTTATGATGATTTCTATAATCATCTAGTATCCGAGGAAGCACGAAGTGTCCCAACTCCTCAGTAATGAAGTAACGCAATCAGCTATATCAAATAATATTTCAGTGTCACATTCTTACATAACACCAAGTGCTCACAGAGATTCACCTCGATCAACTCATCGTGAGATATTAGAGAAGTATGTTATGATAGATCATGTCGTTGACGTGTTACTTACATGTTGTTGTATAAAGACCATTCTGCGAGCAAGAGAGATGAGACTTTCTGAAAGACACTTCTGAAAGATCTACTATAGATGTCATTCTATCTAAAGCACATACAATATTACAGTACAAGAGGTAAAGAATGAACATTGAGAGTTAGATATATCCAATATTATTTGATAATCCTTTGTAATTTATCATTTTGATAGTATTATAAATTCTAAATTGATTCTAAGATATGACATTTTAAACTTATTACATCAATGTATGATTTATTTGATAATAAATTTATTATAATAATATATTTATTATAATTGATCTAATGATAGTATACTTATTATAATTGATCTATTACATCAATATATTTATCCAAAAATGTCAAATTTTATTGTCTAAGCGGTTGTTTCAAAAATATACATCTGCAAATTCCACGAAGAATGACAAAAGGAAGATGTGACTCACTTATACAAAAGTATATTTTCCTAATAGTGAAAGACAATTTTAGATTTTTTTTATTGTGGCTGTGACAGATCTTGACCCTAGACCCTGCTTTAAACCCATGTAAAATTATGGAATGTAAGTTAACAATTTATATTTTTTTCTTTTAAAATCACACAGATATACTCCCTGCAATCCTTTTTATAAAATACAATTTATCTTTTTAAATTTATTAAATAATTAATATATCTAATCTGTATCATAATACATTAATTATTTAATAAATATAAAAATATGAAATATTTCTTATAAAAAACGGGAGAGGATATAACTTGAAGTATTTTAATAATTCATGTCTATCACGTCTTTTTAAAATTAAAAGGTCACGATCTAAAAAAAATTGACTTTTTTTTCTCAATAAAAAGATATTATAGATTATGTAATTCAGGCCAGAATGTTCATGAATTGAAAATGAGTCAAATCAAAGTAAAAATAAGTTCTAACAAATTTGAATAGGCTTTTCAGCCCTATCCCTCTTGCTTTGATCACCACAAAAATTATACCAACAAACTGCAAATAAATAAAGCATACAAGAGAAAGAAAACACTTGCTCTAGATATAATTAACCAAATAAACCATAAGATATTTCATAATAACCTCACCAATTTTTTTCTACACAAAGTATTGAAACTAATACCAAGCAAGCATGCTAAATGATTTATCTGTGAAGCTCCCCTATCATTCTTCCTTCTCTCAAAGAAGCTAGTAATAATATTTAAAATGTACATGTTCAGCAACAACCCACCATTTTCATTGCCCTGTATAGTTTGATGCACCAAGGGAATCAAGCCCCTCGGTTCGGCAAATCACTATCTTTCGGAACACCTCCCTCACAAGACACTCCAACGGATCCAATCCATCTCTAAAAGCTTCCAAAACAAGCTTCAGCTCCTTCAAATCCTGCTCAACTTCCATTTTATATTTCTCGGTCAATGGAAACTGAGCAGAATCCACCAGGTCTGTCAAGTGGCGGGTGGTTATCTCAATTTGATATATCTCCTTCAGTAAACCACTTGAGTTACGACGCTCTCGCTTCTTTGACTCCTCCAGGATCCGTTCGTGAAGCAAAGTAACTGGAGTGCTCCAAGTGAATTGCCTCGGGACTGAAAAATGAAGGTTTAAACCTCTATCCTGACAAGGAATAGCTGCAACAAGGATCCATAAAACAAACAAGAGAATACAGTTCATTGTGTAAACAGAAACCGAAAGCCTGCTGTTTGCAGCAATCTCGTTCGCGCGAGGTGGAACGAGGTTGTTTGCAATGGATTGTAGTTGCTTGGCTGCAGACCAGGACCGAGAGACACTCCATGAATGTGATCTTGAATGCCCTGGTGAATGATGATCCTTGCTTGAGTTATGCCGCCCGAAAGATCTATGACGTTGAGAAAAAACGGATCCTGATTCTTTCTCATCAAGCATTGCCAACGCTAAATCCATAAGCGCCTTTCTAGCCCTCCTAAACTGCCCTTCTGTCAACGGTCTCTTATTTGAACCCAAAGCACAGCTCGCAATTTCTAGATGCTTTTGCCACATACGGATATTCTCAATCCCATCTCGACTCGCATTACAAATGTCAAGAGCCTTAACAGACCTCTCAATGAACTCAGACGTCATCCGATCCAGAGGTGGTTTCGATACCTGCTCTTTATTATTCAACATAATGGCTCTGAATTCCTCATGGCAGCATATAAATGCATTAAGAAGCTTCTGCATCCAATCAATTGATAGCAATTCATCATCACTAACCACAGAAAGGTCGTGAAAACGATCTGTAACACGCTTTTGAAACGATCCAAGCTCTAAATTACATGAATCCGATTCATGACTTGCTTCCACCGAATGAACCTGTTCCTGCCTGATACCGAATAACGACCTACCAAAGGATGAAAACGATGAAGAAGCAGAAGAGCTCTGATTCTCCGTAGACGGCATTCTCAAAAACCCACAGCCTTCAGCAAAAGCAGCCTCAACACAAGATCCTCCTCACAACACTTGACACCACAACCACAAAAATCACATGAAACCCATCAAAAACTGTTGTGCATTAATGTCCCCTCTTTCAGTTCTGTTTCCTATAAGTAACCGAATCCAATTAATTCAAAACATAATCAACAGTACAACATAATCAAACATTCAATATTAACATTTATCAAATTCAAAACCTTAAACAATTCTCAAAACATCGATCTTAACGAACAGATCAAACATATTTCAATACTAAAATCAAAACCCAAATAAATACAAAAGTCCTAAATTTCAATCATAAGACTTCCATAGTAAAAACCAAAACCCACCAAAAAAATCAAACCTTTACCTCAAATTATCCAACACCCAGATACCAATATGTTGAAAAATCATCAATAAGCAGTTAAGAAGCATGTTGATAAGCATGTTGATGAAGAAAAACAGGGTATAAAAAAAGTACCTTTGTAGATGAAAGTGTAGGATGAAGAAAAGAAAGGGTTGAGAGATAGGAAGCGTAAAAGATGAAAAATGGCGAATCCCCAAACCCTAGCGAAAGACCAAAGCAAAGGGCTTTGGTTTACGCTAGTTGAAGGGGAAGCGTAATCAGAATGTTACACAGAGAATACTGACAACACTGCATTTTTTTTTAAAACAATAATAAAATATTATGGAATCAAGAATATTTGCTTATGCTTATATGTTTTTTTCTTTTGGGGTTACAATTGTTTTTTTGTTTAAAATGTTTTATAAATAATTTTGATGTAAGTACTTATGCACTATAAAAAGGATTTAAATAGAATATTATTAACTAATTAATTAATAGATGCATAAAATGGGGAAACATGAAAGAATTGTGTATTTTAGATTTATAGATAGGAATGGAATAATTAAGTTAATAATATTTTATTTTTATTCTTTATCTTTCTCTTTACTTTTTTTATTTTTTTATTAATATAAATATTATTTTAACATAAAAAGAGTGTGATTTAAAGAAAGACTAAGAGAAAAATATTTAAGTCGATTCAAAATTTTATTAAAAAATAAAGGTTCAATATATAATAATTAATTTGAGAAACTTTTGATACAATTTTTTAAATATAATTTATATTATTTTTCATTAGAAATATGATAAATATATTTAAATATTATTTAGAGAGTGAAAATAGAAAAAATTATATTTATGTAAGAGGAAATTATATATTTATCATTTTTCATAAAAAAAATATTATAAATTATATCTAAAAAATTGTATTTAATTTTTATTTTATTAATTAATTTATACTTAATAACATTAATTGAATATATAATTTTTTGAATATTAATATTTAATAATTAATTATTTCTTATTCATAATTTATTAATTAAATAGTTAATTTAACAATACAATCCCCTACTCTCATGAATATAAAGAAGAACCATTATTGTTGTTGAGTTTTTATTTCGGTTGTTGTTGTATCATTATTTGTATAGTTTTTCTAATGCATCTTGTATTTAAAAGGCTTTTTAGTGATTAATATATTTTTTTGATTTTTTAAAAAGAAAATTTTAATTAAATAATTAATTTAACAATGCAGTCCTCTACTCTCATGATTATAAGGAAGAACCATTATTATAGTTTTAAATTTAAAATTTGTATACTTTTTCTCTTTTAATTTTTTTTTTATAATATTATTATTAAAAAACTTATAAATTAGTTTTCGGATGCTTATCAAGTTACCATGAGGACTCATTCCTTAAAATTTTAAAAAATATAAATATTTACATGTTATCTATCAATAATATTTTTCTTCTAAAAAGTTTTCTTTTGACAAATAAAAATTTAATTCATATCATTAATTAAAAATTAAGCAATACAAAGAAGAATTTCATGAATAAAATTATGCTTAGTTCAAAAATCAATTGTCTTTGTTATAATATAAATATTTGTATTTATTTTAGGTTTGATAAATTTTATCTTAAAGTTAAATAAAATTGTAACAAATTTTAAATACATAAAATAATAAAACTAAATTCAGAAATACTGTTATTATAAAAGTGAATAGCTTGACTCATTATTTGAGAATCACTCATATTTTTCATATGCATTTCTATTGCATCAATAATAGTTTGAAATTATGTTCTTGCAAAGTAGTATGAGTTAACTTATTTATTTATGGGATGAATCAACTCTTTAATTGGAATTATTATTACTTATATTATTTTATTTTTAATAACCTTTAATATTAAAATATTTTTCAGAATAATTTTCAAAATTACCTTTTTAGACATATTAGTTATTATTAACTATTTCTTTAATTTATAGTTTAAATTTAAAAAAAGTTATTCGATAATTGATATTCCTTATATTTTTTTTAAGTGTCGTTTTAAAATAATTTTTTTTTATTTAAGTGTTGTTTAATATTATAATTTATCAATTATATTCTTATTTTTTCAATAATTCTATATTTTTCATAAAATTAATTATTTTTTCAATTAGTATTGAAAAAAGAGAAAATACACATAATTAAATTTATTTGAAAAGAGAAAATAAATAAAGATATAATAAGAAAAATAATTCTATTAATTTATTATTTTGGTCAAAAAGTTTTATGTTAAAATAATATTAAAAAAAAAATTTAATGAAATATTTTCAATTAATTTTTTTTTTGGGTCAAATAAGTTGAATATAAGAACATTTTAGATTGGTCACACACATGAATGGATAAGGATTGATGGGAAGGTTAGAAGTGTTAACATGAACCAATAACTCATGAGAAATTTAATATTCCTTCTATCTTAAAATAACTGTTTTTTTAATTTTAAAAAGTTATTTTAAAATAATATTTTTTATTTTATTTTTTCAACACAATTATAATTAATTTTTTGTTAATTTTATCTCTTATATAAACTATTTTTAAATATAATAATATACTACAATTAATAATAATAAAAAATAAATATATAAATATTATTTTTATTGATTCAATCATTATTTTTTTAATTTTTGTATAAATCTTAAACATTATTATTTTGGGATCGAGAGAATAGAGATGTTGACCTTAATTCAAGTTTATTTTCGGCTGCCTCGTGACAACAAGTTACAATATCTAGTGTCAACATCTTTTCATTGAGTCATTGCTTCAAAAACAATTTATACTTGAACATTTTAAATTGCTTCAAAATACATTTAATTGTAGTTTTCATTTTAAATTGTAGATTTTACGAAAGGAATCAAAATTGAAGAGTTTTAAAATAAATAGATCAATTTTGTGAACATATTATGATCAAAGCTGCAATTTTAAAAAAGAAGAATGAAACTCATGTTAAAAAATGAATTTAAAATTGGGTCTCACAAAATTCTTTTACTTTTTTATTTCTTATCTCTCAAAAATAAAATATACACATTTCTTGAATACCAGAGAGAATGTGATCTCCAATATTATGGATAAGAGTCAAATTAATTGTTAGTCAATAATTTGTTAGTCCATCTTAGCCATTTGTAAGAAAAATTGAGTAGCATCATTTTTCATGAGCTTGTAATTTATTTTTTTTAATTTTTAATATTTCTTATAAGTTAATCCAAATATTTGTAGCTTTTCATTTTTTTTCCAATTTTATTCTTATTATCTTAATTAAAAAATAAGTATTAATTAAATATATATATTTATTATATTTTATAAGTATAAGTTAGAATTTAAATACTATTTGTTAATTTTTTTTAATCAATTATTAGGCATGGTAAAAGAATTCGAACTCTGTCGAATTCGGCCGCCTCCACCCCAAATTTGTCGAGGAAAAACAAGTTTAATTAGAGGCAAGGGAGGGTGTGAGAAAACTTCAATTTTAAATTATGGATCGGGAGATGGTAGTATGGATGAGTATAGGTCGATTCGAGTTAGGTTTTGTCAAACCTAAGTTAGGATTGTTAAAAATATGAAAGTCTTATCTATAATCTATCATAGACTTATTTTTAGTTTCGAACATGATCTTTTTGAAGGACAAATTGGTCTGTTAGCCTATTTTAAAGCTTGTTTCATTCGAACATATGTAAATAAACAATTCAATTAACGTTTATATTAGAGTGAGGGGTAAAAAAGCCTTGGACCTGCCGGTTGCTCAGGGTCACCTAGCTTCCTTTCGCTAGTTTGATAACAAAAAAAGAGAAGAAGACCCAATAGTTAAGTTGATGTCAAGCTTCTCGCAAACCATCTCGAAAGCCCTAACGTAACCCCATTGTTAGAGAAAACAGTTGAGAAGGGGCGACATTAAGTAACCTGAGGATCTTTACGGAAAATGCAGAAAGAGGAAAAAATACCCTCATGTCTTTGATAAGGGAGAGATAAAAGTAGAAGTACGACGATGAGAGACGGGAGGAGACCGATAGGGTTATCCTCCAGAATAATATGATCTTTATCCCCCAAATAGGAAACACCTACTCCCTCCAAGAAGATACATATTAGTTCATCGGAAGAAAAAATGAAGATGAAGTCACCTGCGCCCTTTGAAACGAAGGAGGATGAAGACATTTTGTTCTTGAGAAAACAATAGAACAAAAATAAGTCACCACCACCGTCACAACCATCAGAAAAAAGCTATCTACTTAGGAATCCTATATCTAACACCAAAGGGTCTCTACCATACAAATCCCATAAGATCTGACATACGGAATTAAAGAAGGGAAATATCTTATACTCGTGAAAAAGTTGGAGGTCGTGCTGAAAAGTCTAAAAGGGATGGCCCGAGCAAATTTTATGAAAGTAAAGTGGAATATGGATAGCGAAATCCTTCTTATAGGAGAACTCCAAACCCTTCAGGATTTTGCAAACTCTGCACGCTACCTATACGCGCCACTAGTATTTGCAATTTCAAAAAACAAGCCATCATTGGCTGCGTTAAATAAAGGAGAACACTTTTGTGTCATAACTGACTGACGTCTCGGATGACCTACCATAATTGAGAGACAAACACCTGGACACTGACTCATCGGGAGAGGATTATAACCAATGACCCTGTCTATCATTGTTGGTGTCTTCAATTGAGGGGCTCGCCTTCTATTTCAATCGCCCGTGTGGAAAGTACCGACCAACAAAACCACCCTCGATTGTAGAGATCGTCAATTGGACGAGTGTTGTACCCCAAAATTTTCCCTCCCATAATCTTCAAAGTTTTGACAAGAATCATCCACAATTGGTTCAAATTTACTCAAGGGGCACACAGTCAAACCATCCTCCTAAGCCAGTCAAACTAGGGTTTTGGTTCTCACAAGGAAGCTGAAGTTTTCAAAGGCTCAATCAAGTATCCTATGCTCATACACATTGTCAAGTACCTACATGTCAAGTTTCAAGGCTCACAAGGTCAAGTTGCACAGTCAAAAACCCTAATTGCTCAACAGTCAACTGTAGGGGCAAAATGGTCATTTGGCAGTCAAAAGTCAAAATTTTTGGTCAACATCTTATTTTGAAGCCACAAACATCATTTGATCAATGCTTGATCATGATTCTCAAAAGCTTGGCTCAAAAATCATCAAGATGCAAAAGTTTCTATTTTTGGACAGCTGAAAAGTCAACTGTAACTTGACCAAGGCATAACTTTTTCATGGTTCATCAGAAAAATTCCATCCAAAGCTCATTTTGAAGATAAAGACATTTCCTACAACTCCTCTTCATACTTCAAGTCCAAGAAATGCTCTCACAAAAAGTTATCAATTTCAACATTATAGGTCATTTTCAAAAGTCAACAAAAAGGGACTTTAAGTCAAAGGCCATAACTTGAGATTGGTAAATCAAAATGACATGGGACCAAGGACATTGTTTAGAGGACTTCAAGACCTTTCTAAAATGTCCAAGAACATGATCAAAGCTTAAAAATTGAACAAGATATGCATTGGAGAAGTTAGGAAATTTTTGTGAAATGGCCAAAATCATTTATCCTTGAAATTTCATTTTTGACAAAAAGGGCCCACTTTTTCCACTTGAATTAACTTGGCCATGCTTCCCACGTGTCCCACCTTTTATTTCATATTTTTTAATTAATTTTTTCATTTTTAATTGATTTTATTGGATTTAATTAATTTTAAATCTTTTAAAATCAAAAGAAAATCAAAAAGCTTAATTAAATGGAATATTTGGCCTTAACTAACCTTGACTTATCATTATGCAACTTACCAAATTCGTGCAAAAGGCTAATTGAAGCAAGAATTCAAAAATGAGTCAAAAAAGGAAGCTTGGTTATGGAGGTTTATGGAGGATCTTGAAATTGAAAGCTTTGCATTAAGAGGCCATAATTCCTCTTGATTCACATTGTCTAATGCCTATACAAGTGAGGCAAAACGAAATTGGAAAGGGGCTGCGCATAAACACTCAAAAAGAAAACTCACATTTTTGGCCATTTTTTTGAAAACTGAAAACTGCTTTGGAGCATTGGTTGAGCCTCCATTTTGATCAAAACATATTCCTGAGTTCCCAAGAAAGCTCCAAAGATCAAAACCACACTCAAACGTGCAAGGAATCAGTCCCACAAAGCTACACGGTTTGTATATTTTTTCCAGAAATGCATAGCACGAATCATCCATTTCCATTGATTTTTATTGATTGATTTGAACTAACAATTGTCCTCTGAAGCTTTTGGTGGCATCCAATTGGATTATAGGTGTCTAAATCCGATTCCACCATGAACAAAAACTAGGGTTCTTGAAACTCAGAATTAGGGCTTTGGTTATGAGGTAAAATTGGACTTTGACACCAGCATGAACGAAATCGTGGCAACCTGAGGATTCCAATTTGCTTGTCGCGCTCAATTTATGTTTAGGCATGGCCTATTCGCTATTTTCAAATAGCTTGAGTTTTGGGGGGGGGGGGGGGGGGGGGTTAAAACCCCCGCTATTTCATTTTCATTACAGGTGCATTGGGGAAGATGATTGTGTGTCACGCTGTGAACGGCTGGTTTGAATCCATCGCGCTTTTTTTATTTATTTTTAACACTAACTACCATTTTATTTTATATTATTTATTTCTTATATTATATACAACTAACGCACGCAGCTCCATTGGTTAAGGCGTATAGGCAATGATCATTGGGACCTGGGTTCGAATCCCAGGTCCCCCCATTTCACTTCTATTATTTTGTTTAACTTGTTCCAACGCAGTGCACGTTCCAAGGGTTCACCATACACCCAATACAAAGGCTTGCCAAGTGTCTTGAAAGAAGCATCTGAAGGTCAGAATGGGAGGTCCATGGAATGCTCCAGTCAACGCTCCACATGTGATCCAAAAAGTCAGCAAAAGGGCTCCTTCTATTGGGCCAGAGTTCATCAAGTTCACCTCCTCATTTGGGGTCTACACCCCCTTGGTTTGCTCTCTCCTATTCCCTTTTTTTTTATTCTTGTTTGTTTGTTTAAATTCCATTTAATTTTTCAAATAAATATTTTCTTAACATAATAATAAAAACACCAAAAAATCAGAAAATCATAAAAGGACAAAAATATGTTTCATTTTAATTTAATTCATCAATAACTTCTTTTGTAAATAAATCCAATAATAAATTTAGTTCTTATTTTAAGTTGTTAATTTAATTCTTTTTCTCAATAACCAAAAATAATAAAAATAGACCTTTAGCACTTTTTACCCTTTTTTAATTAATTAATATTTTTATTATAAGTATCATTAACCATTAATTTTGTAAATAAATTTTATAATTAATTTAGTTTTAATTCTAGGTTTTAACTTTAATGCATTTTCTTTAATAAATTAAAAACAATTAGAATTAGTTATTTGACTTTTAATTAATTTAATTTTTTTCTTTAATGTCATAAATACAAAAAAAAAACATAAAAAATAAGTTCTTTCTTTTTATTTAACTTAATTATTTTAATAATTTTATCTTAATTCCTTCAAAGGGTTCAACGCCCTCGCATTCGATTATATTCTCTTTTCGCGCGTTTTATTTATTTCTTTGATGTAAATATAATGTACTTGTTCCAAAGCCCTGTAATAGTTAATTAGGCATTTATTTTCTGCATTTTATTTTAAATCGGGTCTGGATTAATTTGGCGTTGTAGACCCGCGCCTTTGTAATAGCGTAGGACCTTTATATTTTCCGCACTTTAAATTCCTGCACCTTTAACTGTTAAACAATAACATGAAAGAATGAATGCCCAAAAATAAAATCAAAGCGTAGATCACCAATACATGACAAGACAAACAATAAACTGAAAATGACACACAATTCACACACCACCCCTAGGGTACGCCTCACTGTTGCCTTGCCCCTCGAAAGGTGATCGTCGAGTAGAGGATGTCTTAGTAAGTCCTCATGATCCGGGAACCTGGCATGAGGGTAGCTTCTAAGGTGTCTTCCCATTGCTCCGGTGATCACCATGTCTCGAACCTCGAATTGACCCGAATACCTCCAACGGTGGTGCTACCTACCTCTCAATGGTGGGATGGCACTACTTTAAAGGACATCTACACAGACGAATTCCTTAGGGTAGGTAGACGACTCTAGATACTTGCTCTAATTTCAAAAACAAAAACAAAATACTTTTCACACCTACACTTTCTAAAAGTTTTCAAACAAATTTTTCATACACTCTTGAGGACAGATACAAGAGTTACTTAGAAATTTTTCAAACGAAACTTTTTCAAAACCCACTCACCTTGAAAAGTAAACAAACATTTTGAAAACACAATGAGCAAGTATCTAAGAGCCCATGGATAACCATGGATAGAAAGGGTGCTAACACCTTCCCTTTCTATAATCTACCTCCCGAACCGAGAGCAATCTCTATAAGGAATTTTTCTGTGCTTTTGTCCTTTCCATTTGGAGAAAATAAAAGACGGTGGCGACTCTTGCTTACCGCGACATTTCGCGAACCAGCGTTAAACAGTCAGTTCCAGATCCACCGATCACAGAACTGGCGACTCTGCTGGGGACACTTATAAAGTGAGGTGTACCTTAGGACTAAGATCACTGTGTTTTCAATTGCTTTGATTTGTTTGCTTTAAATTGTGGGACTGTCTTGGGAGTTCTATAGATCCTAACCCGGATCTGGGGATACCTTCTTAGAAAGTAGCAACAAGGCTGTGAGGGAACTGTGCGGGGTATACCGACATGGTTGAAGCAGTCTGCTACGTTGATGTGGCACTTTGGTGTGTACCGGTAACCCTTGAGTTCAATCAAGGAGAGTACGGGGCCTCCGCGTGGTGTCGTGAAGCATCAACAGACCTTAGGAACCTTAATTGAACCATCTTGGCCTCTTTAGGGTAGTGAGATAACTACTTTGGTGTACTCCAAAGTCGGTTGATACTCGATACTACACTCGATTGAGGGTTGTTTTCTTGGGATATTTTGATCGCCAGTCAGTGGCTAAATCGAAACGATGAACAATGAAAGCAATCCAATGATATTGAGATCCTTAGAACCCGGTTACTTCTAATAGGACAGGTTGAGCCCACCAACTTCAAGAGGGTAATACCCAGACCCCATGCTGGCCTGAACTCTAAGGATTTCCCTTGTGTGACTTGTGTGC